AGACCTCGGTGACCCGGATCCCGGCAAAGCCCTTACCCACGGTGTCTCAGTGTGTAATCTTGTCCCCACACAAGCAGTTATTCAGACAGAGCTTGATCACCACCCTCTAAAGAGGGGTGCCACTGTTACTCCCGAGTGTGAAAGTGGAAAATATGAAATTTTAGAATAGCATGTGCTGTATGTGCTGTAATGTTTTCTGAATATAAACTTGACTTTTTTTAGGTGTTGCTGTGCATCAGAGGCTTTTTTTGGAAAGAGCTTCATTAAAATATAATTCACATGCCATATAAGTCATCCATTTAAAGTGTACAGTTCAATGGTTTTCAGTTGTGCTATATTCAGAGTTGTGCATCCATCACCACAATCAAATTTTTGAACATTTTCATAACCCCCAAAGTAACCCTTACCCTTTAGTCTTCACTCCCAATCCTGCCATACCCCCCAGCCCAAGGCAATCAGCAACTACTTCCTGTCTCTACAGATTTGCACATCATGGACTTTTCAAATAAATGGAATCACACATATGTGTTCTTTTGTGACTGGCTTCTTTCACTTAGCGTAACGCTTTCAGGTTTCATCCACATTGTAGCATCAGTACTTCATTCCTTTTTATTCCCAAACAATATTCCATTGTATAGATATACCATGTTTTGTTTATCCATTCACCAGCTGGTGGACATTTATGTTTTCTCCATTTGGGGGCTATTATGAATAATGTCGCTATGAGCATTCGTGTGCAACCCTTTGGACATATGTTTTCACTGATCTTGGGTATATACCTAGGCTCGGTATTGCTGGGTAATATGGTAAATCTAAATTTAACTTTTTGAGGAACTGCCAAATTGTTTTCCAAAGTAACAACCATTTTACATTCTCATCGGCAATGTATGAGTATTCTAATTTCTCCACATCCTTGTCAGCATTTGTTATTTTCCATCTTTTTTTATTACAGGTGGGTGTGAAGGGTTTTGAGTTGCATTTCCCTGAGAGCACCTTTTCATGTGCTTATTAGCCATTTGTATAACTTTAGAGAAATGTTCATTCAGATCTTTTCCCCTCTTTTAAATTGGGTTATTTGTCTTTTTATTATTGAAAAGCTTGAATTTTTCATGACTATTCAACTGCACTTTAAAACTCAGCCCCAATAGGAATTCGTTGGGCTCCTCCAATTTTGTATCTCTCCCCAGGAAATGGAACACCATTCTGGGAGAATTCCAGCCCCTAAAGTTGTGGTTCTTAATCTATTTTTGTCTCACAGATATCTTTGAGAGTCTGGTGGAAACTATGGATCTTCTCCCTGCATTTAGTATCAGGGAATTCCTGGACTTTCCACCATTCAAGCTTTGCCTTGACTAGGTTCCTTCTTTTCATAAGAGGAGTATAAACCTACTTCTGATTGGATTGTCAAATCATTTGAATGTGGCCTTAATGGGCAACATACGTTTCCCAAATTCTAAGCTCCCACAGAGAGAAAGAGTGAACCGTGTTGTTAAGGTTACTAAAATCGCACTGTGGAGAAATGGCTTTTGTAGAAGATTGCTGTCCATCATTCCTCTAAATGTTCCCCTTTGATCAAGCCAGGCCATGAGAGCTTCACATCGTCATGCTGGGGACTTCTGAGAACCGGTTCCTCTGAATTGCACTTCAGCCTTACGCCAGCAGTCCACACTGAAGCCCCCGGTAAGGAAGCTGTACCGATCCTCTTATTAGTCAGTTACAAAAATGCTATGTCCCGCTCCGACGGCTCATACACACACTGAGAAAGAGAGTGCTTCCCTTGAACCCATGGTGTTTTGATTTTGTAATAATTAGTTAATAAACAGTAATTTAATTATGTACTTAAGTAAGTAATAATGTTTTCTTCTCTACTCTGGCCCTTAAGAAGCTCAGAGCAGCATTGCTGCCTGCCTCTGGCAACTGGACTGGACTAGCTGTTTCTTTGGGACCAGCGTTTATAGCCCTCACCTGTCCTTTGGCCCAACCCCACTGTTAGCTCCTTTTTAAAGCATTTTTGTATACTATTTCAAGCTGTTTCTAGAACAAGTCAACACATTTCTTTTTCTAACCTTGCCATTCTGCACCTCACGTTGTGCACTTCATGAAACGCCATGCATGACAGCTGTTTGCTTAATGTACGTTCTCAATGACAGGTAGAGCTTATCTTGTAGTTATTCTTCTCACATGTAACGTTTAGGTTCTGGACTCAAGGATATTTTGCAAACAGACAACCATCACCTATAGTTTACCAGGTGTTACATGTCTGTGTATGAAAAGGAAGGTAGAATTTTTTGCAGCTAAGCAGACATAATAGAAACACATAGCACTGTATTGTTTCAACAAGATACTTCCATGTTTACTAGGCCAGGCACTGTTCTAAGTGCTTTACAAATACTTATCTTCACAAATCCTATGAGGTAAGTACAATTTTTATTTCCCCCACATTACAGATGAGAAAATGAAGTCATGGAGAGGTTAATTATTTTGCTCAAGGTCACAGGGCTAATAAGTGTCAGAGCTAGGATTAGGAACAGGGTTGTGTGCCTGCAGAGTCCACACTCTCTATCCGCAGGAGCTGCTAGAAAGAGCTGGGGCTTTGGGACCCTGGGCAAGCCACTTAAATCCTCCCTGTCACATGGGACAATGACACTCACTGCCTTCTAGACTTGTTGAAATCAAATGAGGCTCCATGGGAAGGTCATGTCCATCCCATAGTGGGAACTCATCTGTGTCTTCTTCGGCTAAAATCTGTGTAGAAATCCAAACACAACTTCACTAGAATCCAGGCCAAGGAGAATAACTCACCCAACAAAACATCATCCGAAAACCCAAAAGTAGACAACAGCACCCTTATCTTTTCAGCTAATTTGGGCACCCTGATCACCGAGAGGTTTTGTAAAATGTATTGTATATGAAGAAACTAACTCAAATTGAATTTTGACACATTTTAATATTTGGCATATCTTTTTTTTTTTTTTTTTTTTTTGCGGTACGCCAGCCTCCCACTGCTGCGGCCTCTCCCGTTGCGGAGCACAGGCTCCGGACTCGCAGGCTCAGCGGCCATGGCTCACAGGCCCAGCCGCTCCGCGGCATGTGGGATCTTCCCGGATCGGGGCACGAACCCGCGTCCCCTGCATCAGCAGGCGGACTCTCAACCACTGCGCCACCAGGGAAGCCCCTGGCATATCTTTCTGAAGAATGAAGTTGAGAGATGAAATTACAATCAAATGTTCTGACAAATTCAGACAATCATTAACTACTTCAACTTTAAACAACACAGTATAAATTTAAGGAAATACATAGCACCTCATGATTCCTTAAGTGCTTCCAGTGACTACAGAGTCTGCCATTGTTCCTCCTAGTCAACAAGTACTATGAGCATTCCAGAAGCAGGGGTTGTACCCTATATATTCTAACTGGAAGCTCGGGACAGTCTTAAACTCAGAATCTCCTCACACCAGTCCACAATGGTACAGTATTTTCAGAGTCTGCAAAGCCCTCCAAGAAATACCTTTTCAGTAAATCCTCTCAACCCCATGAAGTATTATCCCCGTTTTAGAGGTCAGTACAATGAAAGCTAGAATGGTGGTGATTTTCATCCACCTCGTGTTTGCTTAGTATCTATTATGTGTTAGGCAGCCTGCTGACTGAGGATGGCCCCTGCTTTTGAGGAGTTTTCGGTTCAGTGGGAGAGACAGAAATTGTAAGAGGAAGCACAGGGTGCTCAGCGCTTTGAGAGACGCACACACAGGTCGCTGTGAGAAACGAGGAGCTCCTCCTGGGATGTACGAAAGCCTTGCCAGTCGAGGTGCTAAGGGCACGGGGGGTGTAGGGGTGTGGGGATGGGAGCGTGTGGGAAGAGGGGCTGGCTGAAGGGACGGCATGCACAAAGGCTCACAGGGAAAATGTGTTGCCTCTGAGGAAGGACATTTATTCACTGCTCTTTGAACTGAGCACCTCCAAGTGCTGGGCCTGTGTGGAGAGATGAGGGCCCCACCAGACTGCCAAGTCCTTCCCCTCAAGGAGCTTAATTCTAAAGGCAGAATAGACAATAAAAACGTAAATCAAGTAACAAAATGACTGCACAGTGGCGAGTACTATGAAGGAAATAACTCAGGGCAGGGAGCGAGAGAAGCTGGGAGAAGCGGGTTTTGGAGACAGCAGTCAGGGAGGCTTTGGAGAAAGCGCCTATGGCAGCCACGGTGAGAGAAAGGGACACTAGGTAAACGGCAAGTGCGGCAACCCTCACAGGTTACAGCTGGCAGCACTCGAGAGGCAGAAAGGAGGCCAGCGTGGCTGGAGCACGAGGGAAGGACGATGATGCCGCGGGTGACGGAGGCGGGCACGGGGTACTGAGGGCCTTGTAGGCGATGACAAGCAATTCAGAGTTAAACTGAGAGCAGTAAGGAGCCTTTGAGGGCTTGACGGTGTTTAACTTACATTTCTAAAGGATATCTCCGGAGGCGCTGTGGAGAATGAATTAGTGGGGTCAAGAGTAGGAGTCGTCGTACCAATTGGGGGCTACTGCCAGAACCTAGGTGAGTGACTGGTCGGCAGCCTTGAGAAGGAGAGAAATGGTTGGACCTGAGATAGGCGGCAGCATGGACAGGCCCTCCCGATGGCTTGGATACAGACGTGTGGGTAGGAAGGAATTAAGTATAACTCCTAGCAATCGGCACACATGACGCTGTCCTGACACAGAACCTAAGCAAGAGGGAGAATCGAGAGTTCTCTCTTGGAAATGTTCAACCTGAGATGCTTATCAGACATTCAAGTGAAGCTATTCCATAAGCAGTTCAATATGTAAGGCAGCAGCTCTGGGGAGAGGTCAAGATCAGTTCTGAATGCAGGGGTCACTGGTCTACAGATGGTACTAAAAGCTTGAAGTTGAATAGAACAGTCTAAGGAAGAGCATGTTGAGTGAGAAAACCTACATGGAAGTCCTGGCGGGGGGGGGCTTTAGAAGAGGAAAAGCCACAAGAGTAGAATGAGATGGAGTGGCCAGTGGGCAGGAGTGTCAGGTCAAAGAAGCCAGGAGTGGAAGAGGGAGGGGCCAAGTGTGTGAAATGATGCTCAGGACTAAGGAGGTCACTGGCAACCTCTAGAGCAGGAGAGCAGTTTCAGGGAGGGAAGTGGGGATGGAGAGGGTTAGGAAGACAATGGGAACAGTCACTGCAGACAATTCTCACCAGAGGTGTCTGCGTGAAGGGGAGCAAATGTATGCAGCAGTAGATAGGGAGGATACGGAACCGAGGTTTTGTTTTGCTTTAAAGAAAGAATAACAGGATGTTTCCATGCTGACGGGAAAGATCCACCGAGAGGGTCAGATCACAGAAGCCCCATCCTTGGTGGCAAGAGCCCTACACCCCACCTTCTGGTCTCTAGTCGCACATTCCAGCTCCTCTGCTGGATCTAATCACATGATGCTCTTGTGCTGGTGTCCTTCAGGGCGGCCAAGTTCTAAGCTCTGCTCTTCTCTCTCCTTGCCCTCCTCCTCCTCAGCTCTCCGTGGCTTCAAATGCCCCTGCGCCTTGAGAGCTCCGTCTCCCCTTTAAACCTCTCCTCAGAAATGCAGATACCAAGATTTCCACCGTGTGTCCCCAGGCACCCACACTAACCCAGCCCCAGGCTCCACCCCCACCTCTCTCCTCCCCCTGTGTTTTGAGCAAGAGAAGGCTTCCTGTCAAAGTCCTTGAGTCCCCTTACACACTTCGGCCCAACCTCACACATTACCAGCCCAGCTGGCTAATGAGAAGCAAAACCAGTACACCAACCTGGATCACTCTGAGTCTGAGATCCATGCTTCCACTACATACAACGCTACTGCTCTCAGAGGAAGTTCCTATAGTTACTTTATTTTCAACACGAATCATAAAATCTTTAGTTAGTCTACAGCTATTCACATTTAAGTCAGCATGAGAAAGTATCACTTTACGATAATAAATATTAACATGAGAAAAAGTCTAGCAAAGTGGTTTATTTACAAGTTATTGCTGGAAAAAGTCCTTCGAACAAACCAGTGCAGTGAAAACACCTTAGAGCTAATATCAGTTTCTCAGACTCCTCATGGCAGCTTTATTAGTACATCTCATTTTTATGGTGTCTGTATGTTCAGCCTTTCAAAGAGCCGCTACTTCATGATGACAGTAACTCTTCGGTGTTTATTTTTATTTCCAAGTTTGTGATTTTTTAAGAGGCTACTTTAGGGCTGTGAATTGTTTCACTGTCTTTTCACTCTCTCTTTTTAGTTCTTCAATATGCGCATCCAGGCGCTCTAGAATGTGATGAGACCTCAGTTCCTCCTCTTCCAAAAATCTTGTGGCTATTGAACCAAGAGGAGACAGAGGCAAGGGACGCTAGAAGAGAAACACATTTTGACATACATAAGTTGAATAGTATATTTCTAAGACACATTATTCATGATATTTTCTAACTAGCAATATTAAAAGGTGATGTTTTAAAAAATGCTTTCCTCTGAAAGCATTTGTATATCCTTCTATACCCCAGAAGAGAAATACTTAATGCCTATTATTTCAAACACACTTTTAAAATCTGAATGTTACTTTTGTTTTAAAGCATAGAAAAGCTACCTATAATAAATTAGATATCAGTTAAAATCAATACTTTCCTTCTTCCAAATTGAGTCCACAGTGCCTTATCTGAAACCACTGGTTTCAGAATTTAGATTTTAGAAAGGTCACATGTACCAAGTTCAGTCAATCCTCATTTGCAGTAGTTATTTTCTATGAAAGTCATCTCAAACACTGAATTAATGAATATTGAAACACTGTTCTTATGGGAAACACACACACACACACACACACACACACACACACACACGCTTCACATAGACTATAATCCTAACTCCTAAAAACAACTCATCCAGTAGATTCTATTTTCTTTATTTTACAAAAGAGAAAACATGGTTGAGAGTGTTTAGTGACCTGCCCGAGGCCACCCCACTAAAGGGTGCCAGAGCTGGGGTTCAAACCCTGTTCAACGCCAGCATCCGAGCTTCTTGCGCTGCACTGTGCTGTCCCCCAGGGGCTCCATCCTCTGGGCATCTCAACTCAGCACAAGAGCTGAAACAAGAGGGCAAAGTGCCACCCTGACTGACCTCAGCTGGAAACATGCAAGTCCAGTGACTCAAATTTTGTGCACCTCTGCACACGTTCACGAATGACTGTGGAAGTGCTCATGAGTACTGCTCAGGGGTTACAGTTTAGTGAGTAGACGAATTCGCAAATACAGACTCATGAGGGGTCAGAGGTAACTCCCATAATCAAACACGTTGATATTTCTGAAGTAAAATGCTAAGTGGGATCAATAAAGTCTATACATACTATCACATCAGTTCAGTTCAGGCCAGGTGAGGTTTCGGTGCCAAATAAGTTTTGCTGACAAACTTAGGGAGAAAGTTAGTTGTCAGGACTTTTTTGGATTTCAGAAATACATATATTACATATATTTTGACAACTAAAAGAAAACCTTCCCATGGACTTGTTGGCACATTAAAAAGTCAAAAATACTGAACTTTCTCAGGTATACGACCACGGGAGGTTGATGGGAATGAATGGCCAGAGGCGAGTGCTTCAGCACAGAAGGTAAAGAAAAGATGGTGGAGTGGAGTCCTCACAGCAGCCGCGAGAACAAGGGGCCAGTCCACGTGGAAAGGCAGCCTCTGACACCAGGGCCACCACTGTGTGGCACCCAGTCCATGTTCTAGACACGTCAGATGCGACTCCTTCCCCCGCCTCTACCCACCTCTTTCCCTTTCCAACCGTTCCTTTTCTCCTTCCCCACTGTCTATGCCCCCGGACTATCTTGGCAGGTAGAGATATTCCTTGAACCAATCATCCCAACACAAAATTGACCCTCTCTGAAAAAGGCAGGAATGGAATTTCGCATTCAGGCTAAAAAGAAATGAATAACTATAACTTATATTTCTTAAGATGCATTTTGAAAAGTAGTCGTGGACAACAGTGTCTTCACAAGCAAAACCTTAAGACAGAAATAATTGAGGATAACAAAGGCTGCTTAAGAGAGAGAACCAGTGAGGGGGGTGGGAGGGGGAATACTCCTCCACCTTGAAATAAAAAATAAAATCAAACCAAATCAACTTAATGCACTAGTGAGCTCAGCAAGTCTCCGTACCGGATATGTAAAGTCTTCTTGGCCATTTATACTTTCAGAGACAGTGTCAGAAAAATTGGTTTCATTTGTATCTAGCACTGAAGGCAAAGAGTGAGTTTTGCACAGAAAGTTAGAAGGCAGAGAGACGGTGGAGCAGCAAGGGCTGATCTGATGACTCGGGGGGCTGAGGCCCCAGGACACAGGCTCTACGCTATCCAACGCTTGTCCTTGCGTAGAATGAAGACCTGCTTTGTAGTGCTCAGCCTCCATCCCATCATGCTTGCGCTGGCCACTGGTTGGCCTGGATAGCAGATTAGAAAATCAAACAGATAAACATTGTAGCAACTTTCCTCTTTTAAAACATACTTCTTGTTGAAGTTCACTTAAACTCACAGGACCAGGCTAAGAAGGCTGTAATTTACCAAATGAGCAGCCGGCTCCAACCAGATGGTCCTTCCCTCACTCCGGCCCCAATCCCCGATCCCCACCGCCAGGCCCCCGCCCCCCACACACTTACAATACATCAAGGAAGATAAGCAAGCTGCCAGGGTGACCCCATGTGGTTGGTGCTTAGGATAAGAGGGAAGCACTGTGCAGAGAGAAGGCCCTTATCTTCATCTGGGGAAGAGGTGGGAGTGGGGGTGAGGGTGTCAGCAAAGGCTCCTGGTAGGAAAACATGTAAACCGTACCGTAGGAGCTGAAGCCAGGTGGTTTTTCACTGAATGCTGACTTCTTAGGTAACAGTCTATCATTAGTTGACCAAAAATACAAAAGAAGCTTTTTACAAAAAGCCGTCTTCTACTTCTTATGGGGCAAGTGGGGCTGGAGAGGTAGGAGGCGGCATGAGGAGGCTCAGTGGAACAGGCTGCCATTTACACCTACATCCAGAAGCCTCGATGAAAGTGCTTAGAACCCCTGCACCTCTTAACCTAACAGCTTTACTTGTGCACAGTGTACTTCAGGATTAAACAGAGTCCTTTGACAAAGGTTTAATTTCTGTAAATTGGAAATTATTCTCAAAGAAATGAGAATTATATTATAAAGATATATATTTTAAATAAACTATGAAGAAATTTTACTTGAACTCCGTGTTCTTGAACTCAGGTACTCTGCTGTGTGTTGGTTTAAAGATCCTGTCCTGGTTTTTTTTGCAAATCTGAGTAGAAATCTCCAGCTGAGCTTTGGTATCCATCAAATCTTTCTGTAGTTGTTGATTTTCAGACACTAATTTATTTAATGCCTCAGTATAATTCTCCTGGAGGTCTGCTAGTGAAACCTCTTTTGCCTAATAAAAAAGAATACTAGAGTCACTTACTTTATACAAGAATAACTTGTAATCTGTGATACTGCTGTTGGAAAATTACTTTCAGCTGTGACTAGTTAATCTATGGCTTTACTCAGGAAAAAGTGAAGATTTGGTTTTGGTCCCCTAAAAGAGAAACAACGTTCTGTTTCTTACAGTAAATAGGGGCAGAAAACGAGGAGCACAATGGGCTTCCCTGATGTGCCAAGGAATATCCAAGGAACTGGAGGAAAGCTGGAACTAGGATGGAAGAAAGCTACGGATGAGAATCAAAAACAGGGAAAAAGAAAGAAAATAGCAGCCATGGATTCTTCCTCAAGAAAGAGAACGTTGAGCTCAGTGAAATAAGTCAGAAAGAGAAATCCAGATACTGTATGTTATCACTTAGATGTGGAATCTAAAAAATAAAACCAACAAATGAATATTACAAAACAGAAACAGAACAAACTAGTGGTTTACCAATGGGGAGAGGGGAGGGGGAGGACCAGATAGGGATACGGGTTTAAGAGGTACAAATGCATGTATATGTATAAATAAATAAGCCACAAGGATATATTGTACAGCACAGGGAATAAAGCCATTATTTTACAATAACTCTAAATGGGCTATAATCTATAAAAATACTGAATCATGTTGTACACTTTAATATAATATTGTAGCTATACTATACAATTATACAACTACGCTTTAACTTAAAAAAAAAGCTACTGATTAAAAAAAAAAGGAAAGAGAAGGTTGAATAGCCCCAGAACACCTGTGGAAGAAAATCAAAAGACCTATTTCAAAGAAAGAAATTTGGACATAAGGCTCTGAAAAGGAATTCTGGCTGGCAGGGACAACTTTTAAATAAACAACTCTCTGGTCTTAAAGAGTTTTACATAATGTTGGCACCTATTCTGGTATGTGGAACAAATTTGGACATGATAAGGCAGTATTCAAGGATAAGGTAAGTATGACTACTCTGATCTGGTCTGAATTCTGTGATTATTTATTCTTCTTCAATTCTAGGTGTTTCCTGGTAATACAGTACCTAAAAAAACAGAGGTCTGGACCATTTTCTTCTAATGACAAAATATTTTCATTAGCATTCTGAAAAATTATGGTTATCTTCTTTGGAATTTAATTCGATGTTTAGCTTGGTCTTTTCTATAAAGAACTTTCCAAAAATAAGCTGGTAAACAGTGGTTTGACAAACAGAATTTACCTAACAAAAAAATAAATCTTAAAATAAAACCATTTAACTATCTGTTCTAGCAGTGACAGTAAGTTACAAAATGCTAAAATCTCAAAAAAAAATTTGCAGGACATAGGAGCTAAACTATAAACTACTGTCAATTTTTTTTTTACTGTGGTAAATACTTTATCAGAGCTATTGCTTTTACTATTAAGATAATTAGATACTTTTATTAAAACAGTTATTTAGCTAAAATATTCATTTGTAAAAGTAATATCACCTTCCTCCAAGGTAAAATGCAAAACGGCACTTTCTAATAATTGTTCTTAATACATACACCATGTTTACACTGTGTGTAACTTCAAAACCAGAGGAAGTATAAACTGCTAACAGGATTCTCACCAGCCAGAGTTTGATGTCTGATGTCATTAAATATACTTTTTAAAAGAAGATAATGTTTGCTTTTGCCAGGCAGGCATCTTTTAAATTTTTCTCAAATTTATTATTTTATTATCAACAATTACAGATAAATGAATGTGGAAGGTAATATAAAAAGTGCATAGCAAGCACACACCTTGCTGTGTAAAGAAAGGACATTACCACCACTGTTAGATAGAGGTTTCAGGAGAAATTAAGCTGAACAGATTCTCTGGTCGTAGTCTGGCTTACGCACCCCTGAGAGTTCCCAACTCTTAAATATGAATAGGTAATCTCTGCATAAGATAAGATTCTGTCAATCAGCTATTGCCAAATCCTGAGACTTCTGAAGATTCTGTGGTACAAATCAGATTGGTTCTAGGTTTTCTCCACCACCAGCTTAGTATTGGGTTAAATCAGGGCATATAAAGTCATTTTCCTCCCTCCTTCCCTCCTTCCCTCCCTCCCTCCCTCCCTTCCTTCCTTCCTTCCTTTTTCCCCCTTACAAAATGTTTAGCTGTTGTCTCCTCTCCCACTTTTTCCATCTTTGTAGGTTTGTGTTTAAAAAAAAAAAAAAAAAATCCTTTCATTATAGTTTTAGAGGGATTTGCGGAGGGAGCAAGATTAGATGTGCACATTCATCTGCCACCTTAAATGATGGCATATTTCCTAGTGTAGGAAGTCATGATTAACCATCCCTCTATAGATTAACATTGAGTTTTTTTCAAAATTTTGGATATTGCAAACAACACTAAAATGACCATTTTTATGCCTTTGCTCCTACAGGATGGGTTCTTTGGGAATGCAAACTGATATGACCTTTCTGGAAAACAATGATGATCAAAATCAGAAAAGCACATGACTCAGGACTTTATAGGCTACATGTATTTACATACAGTTTAATGGATATTGCTAAATTGCCCTCTAGAATAGTTATGTCAATTCACTTTCTCATTAACAGAGCACTGAAGAGCCTGTTCCTCTATATCCCTGCCAACACTGGCTATACTGGATTTAAAAAATCACTGTCAAGCCAATAAACAAAAGAATATTTATTTCTTTTGTTTTGATTATTAGAGGGGTGTAACTGCTTTTCTTCATTACTGGATTTTTGCATTACTTCTATGAATTATCTATTTATGTCCTTTACCCATTTTTCTACTGGATTCCAATCTTTTTATTATCTTTACAGGAAATCCTTATATATTAATATTTTATATTAACCTTTTATCTGTTAATAGATTGTTTTCCTCTAGTCTATTAGTCTTTTTTAATGGGGTCTTTTGTCATCCAGAAATTTTATATTTTTATGCTGTAAAATTCCTTATGTTGTAAAATTCTTTACGGTTTTGTGATGCTAAGAGAGTCTCGCCCTCTCAAAATATTATAAAAATGGTCCCCCATATTTTCTTTTAGCTGAAATAACGTATTCATGTAGTTTTTTGCATGTTCTGCCACCCCAGCCTCCATAATCCATGAGTGTGAAACTAAAACTACTTAGGAGCAAATAGGGGCATTGTGTGACCATGAATCTTTGGAGGCACACACTCTCTGGAAATACAGAAAAGAATTTCTACAATCTCTGGGCATTTGACGTACATCAAGAAAAGATGGGTCAGAACAGATGGGTCATTTTGAAAATTATATAGATTTTATAACAAAATAGTTCAAAGAGCATCCATACAGTTTATAACTCACTGTTAGCTGATCATGTTCTCTGGTTTCACAGCAGTTTGTTTACATTTCTTATCCTCCCTACTAGATTACCCTCAATCTTGTAAAGGCAAGAATCTTATCTTAATTCATCTTTGTGTCCATTACACTGTCTACTAAAATACTCTGAACATAAAAGATTCTAGAATACTTGATGAAATGAACTATATCTTGTAGAAATATAAAACCAAACTATTTAAAAGATCATATACTTTATAATGAAAAGATATTGTGAACACAATAATTTCAGTAATAATAATAACAGCATCAAACGTTTATTGTGTATTTACTAAATGCCAGACACTATGCTAAGCCCTTTACATACATCCTCCCTATTAAGAACACATTATGTATTTTATCACATACATAATATTTTTTTAAATCTTCCATTTGCTGGAGTGGAGAGTCATATTTTGCTCACTCCCATCACTGTCTTGACTTCTTTTCATTTGAGAAAGTTTTTGCAGAAGGATTGTTTCATAGTTTGATCTTAACTTTCTCTTTACAATATCAGTATTTACAAAGTGATTTCTTTAAAGGCTTGGATAGTAGAGAAACTTAAGTTTCTATTTATGTACCTCATGTAAACCCAATTCCAATTTCATCACCATTTCAGAAAGACGATGATTTTCTAACTTGAGTGACTCCAACTGAGCCAAAATCTCCTGAGAAGGGAAAAGCAAAAAACAAATAAATGTAACAAATAAATCAAACGCATCTTATAAAAATTTTCCACATGTAATTTTCATTAGGCGAGGTCACATTCTTCATTCATATATACAAATACTTTCTGAAAGGTTGTTGAAAAGGTGTTTCAACATGAATTCATATGCATGCAATTAGAATACTATTCTAAGAAGATGAATCAGGCACTGGTAACCCCCAGCACTCCTCTTACTGGCCTCCACCTCCAGCATCATGTGGACTGCACTCCTTTCACAAGGTAGTAAAACTTATTTTCAGTCCTCATTCTCCTTAGCTTTTCTGCTTAGCCATTCCTACATGAAAAGATTCCTTCCTTCCCTGCCTTCCTACTTCCTTTGTGAAAACTACCTGATTTCCTTCCTTATTGCTACTTTTCTTTTTAGCTCCATTCCAACACCTTTTTACCCTAAATGAGTAGATTCCTAAGTTTGGTGCAAGTCTCTCCTCTTCATACTCTATGCCTTCTCGCTATAATATCAAAGTCTCTCAGGGTTTCAAATGCCAACTTCATGCAAAGATTTCCACAGCTAAATGTCTTACCTTGATTTTAATCTTGAACTCCAGGCCTTCTGTGGAATTGACTACTAGATATTTCCATATGGAAGTCCAGCCTTTATCTCAAACCAGTGTCCCAGCTTGCCTATTTTATGTACCCTTTATACAAACTCATTATCCTCCTCAAACCTGCTCCCTATCTTTTCTGTATTTCACTAAAGAGCATCACTTCCTTTTCAGTTGCCCAAGCCAGAATCCTGAGTGACATCTTTTCCTAACTCTGTCTAACTCATTCTCCTGGTCCAATCAAATACAAAGCCCAGTCGATTTTCTCCAGAATGCATCCATTTCCCCCTGCCTCCCTGGCGCAGTGCTCGGGCCACAGTCTCGCTGCTGTGACAGCATCCGAGTGGTCTCTTTGCCTCCTCACTTATTCGCCACACGACAACCACAGAGACCTTTTACTCCTGCACAGGGTGGGCAGGCCCTTCAGGAGCAGGTCACTGCTTTCCAGTCTCATCCCTGACCACTCGCCCTGTCTGAACTCTGGTCTGTCACAGCGAACGTGGCACAGCCTTAATACACACCCTACACACCACAGAGAGGGTCTCTTCACTTGTCTCATCTACTCTCACCTCCCACCAATCTCCACTAGACTGCTTGTTAACCAGTCTACCCTTAGCCTGAAGGAGAGGGCTAATAAAAATTTACTAAATTAACTACTATGGAAATTATACCTTTAATAAATTGAATCTTCAAAAACAAACTTCAGGGGCTTCCCTGGTGGCACAGTTGTTGGGAATCCACCTGCCAATGCAGGGGACATGGGTTCGAGCCCTGGTCCGGGAAGATCCCACATGCCGCAGAGCAACTAAGCTCATGCGCCACAACTACTGAGCCTGAGCTCTAGAGCCCGCAAGCCACAACTACTGAGCCCATGTGCCACAACTACTGAAGCCTGCACGCCTAGAGCCTGTGCTCCGCAACAAGAGAAGCCACTGCAATGAGAAGCCCGTGCACTGCAATGAAGAGTAGCCCCCGCTCACCACAACTAGAGAAAGCCTGCACACAGCAACAAAGACCCAATGCAGCCAAAAATAAATAAATAAAATTTAAAAACAAACTTCAAATAAAGAGAATTTTTGTTCTAGTTTCACCTTGTGCTCTACTGCTTTTTCTTCTGCCTTTTGTATCTCTGCTTTGAGTTGCCTCTCCATGTCAGAGGAAGAACTTTTGGTGGAAGCAATAGTGATATCTCGCTGATGTAACTCTCGAGTTAGCTGGGAGATCTCCATCTTCATTCCCTCTAGTACAGAACTGTAACTCTGTTCAGCCTGCAAAATCTGTTCTTTCAACTACAAAGAAATAGAAGGCATTAAAAATTAAGAGAAGACATGTTAGATAGAAAAATATAATAATAAAGTAATTTTTACCTTACCTCAAGACATGAATTTTTCCCTGATTAAATCTGCAGAAAATTAGCAATTTACCAAGCTGCATATCTGTACTGAAGATCAGGTGGTTATACCCACAATTACCTATTAGATTTCAAAACAGGGAGAGATGCCCTACTCAAATGCTGAGAACCAGTATCAAAGTCAAAGCCACATTGTTTAGAGGACAGCACCTGTCACCTTCATTCTTTTTCTAGTTGCAAATCTAAAAATTTTGCTTATATAGTTTCCTGGTCCACAGAAGACAACAGAAAGGCAAGAGGAAGAAAGGGGCTAGAAGTAATCTCAAAGAAGTAATAAAAAATATGAGTCAACAAACAGGACAGCCAGGGCCCACTAACATAGAGACAAACTCTGCACACTTCAAATGCCAATGAGGATATAACTACCCACAGCACAGGAGAGAATACACATCCATCACCACCTTTGGTCAGTAAGAAAATATTAAATGCCAGCTCATATAACATGTTCATGTGCTTGTGCAAGCAAGAAGGTGCGTAGCTTCTAGAAAACTTTTCCTCAAGGCACATTTAAAATAACGTTGTACAGTTCAAAGGGGCAGGCTTCAACTCTCTTGAAACTACTTACATGGCATCCCTGGGGATGACACAGAAAGACACTCTCCTAAGCACCTTCCAGGTACTCTCTACTTGTGAGCATCAAATGGCCTCTGGGTCACACTTTTCTCTCATTAAAAATAATTCCTGTAACCTCTCAACCCACAGCTCAGTCCATAAACAAAAAGGGCTTTGCGATCCCAGGCATGTGGACCTTTACCTTCTTAATCTCGGCCCTGTACTCATTGTTATGCACTTCCATCTTCTTCAGTTCTTCATATTTTTCCATTAGCTCTTGGCTCAGCTGTTTACATGTTGTACTCACAGATTCCAAGCTGTATGACAAAATTAAGGTCACATATTTAAAATAAAACAAAACCCTGGAACCCACAAATTGAGTTATCTAACCTACCTTCTTGATGTCCAAGAAATACCCTTAAACATCACCTCCCACCCCAAAATAAAACTAATTTCCGATTTCCTTATCACTGGAGGCAGCTAAATCCAATTCACACTTCTGGAGATATTTTTGAGTTCTGTGTTTACCTATATTCTTTCTCTCTGCTTAGAATATTACTGGTTATAAAATTCTAAAGATTATAGCAACTTAGGTAGTTATTTTCTCTCTAGTTGTACAGGAGCTGCATCATAATCTCAGTCTTCACCAACTTAATTACAATCCCATCCTACACACAGCTGCCAAAAGAATCTTCTTCAAAGAGTTTCCAACTTGTTACCCTTACTTAAGAAAAAATCACTCATCAGATACAAGAACCTAGGGGCACCATACCTCTCTTATCTCACAGCTCATACTAATAAAGTCTTTTTGCTGCTAAATTGCTAGCCTTTACTGTCTGCCATGTGCCATTTGCTAAGCCTGACTTCTTGTCTCCTCACACACCATCCCCTTGACCACACAGCACCTTCCCCTCCTACCAGGCAATGGATAGTCAACACCCTTTCAAGAGTCAGATCAACATTTACCTGGATAGAGCCACACTGACCCTCATTCCTTAATTACCTTAAAAACAGTCTATTTTCAATTGTTAGAGCTTGAATGTAGACACTTTCTAGAAGTTTCACTTTAAATTGCTCTTAGGTCCTTTAATGTGCATATTATGTTTCTCGAACTACAAATTCTATGATTAAAATAATGTCTTTTACTTCTTACCTCCCTCTAACCTTGCCCACCATACCCTTATGCCCTGCATCATTTGGTTCCAGACTGCTCAATACAGGCTTAATAACTATCTAGGTTGTTTCACCCACACAGCCAACTTACCAGATAAGCTATCGTTCAAAAATCCATCTCTACAATACAACAACACAAAAACAATCACTTAAATTCCTACAGTTCCTGTTTCAGGGAATATTCTGTTCAAACTGAACAACACAAATAAGCTGTCTAAAAGGGTTCATTTTTCTACTTGCCTTTTGATACAGAAAAATAATTTTGAAAGTCTTTGTTTTACTACTGAACACTGGTATTTCTATCCATTTATTCCAACTTTACCTATTTCTAAAAATCCTAGAATGCTTATTTATTTGGTACTTAGAATGTGACTACAGTGTGTCAAACATTGAGGTAGAGCGAGAAGAAAATCAGATAATCTTGTCCTATCTACAGATGGGAAAATCGAGGCCTAAGAGACTAAAGTGTACCAGGTCACAATGCAAGAGGCAGTGTGTCAGTAACAAGAGGCAAGCCTTCAGAGCCTGCTGAGAGCACAGCAAAACATGTAAAAGATCACTAAAAAGTCTATCAATGGAAAATCAGGATAAAAAATGTAAATATTAGTTCTAATGTCAATAAGAATACTAAGCTTTTATTTTATTCAATCTAAAGTATGCAAATATACCTCAGTAATGACAACTAAGAATATCTTAAGTATTCCAAGGTGAGAAAGAAATAAAGCAAAAACTCTGTGTGTGTATGCATGTATATTTAATATGTAAAGAAAATATTTAGTGGTTTGCAAAAACAGAAATAAAAGATATATTACTTAAAGATAGGACAAAAAACTTATTACTGTACTTAAAAGGGTAAAACAGCAATTTTTTGGTTATCTGTTTGCCTAAAGGCTAACAGTTTATTTATTTTATTTTTATCTTCTACACAGCAGAAAATACTACTGTACAAATGACCATGATTTACGTTTAAACAAAATATCAAACTCTTCCCAATCAGCAAGTTCAGCGGGATGATAAAAAAAGTTCACAGTATGGTGATACAAGTGAACTGGGCATGGTATAGCATAAGTCAGGATTCAATCAACACACTAGGAAATATCAACAGCATTTCAGCACAGAAGGAAGGAGCACCGTGTGTCCAGGGAGATCTTCCCAAGAGCAGCTCCAGTGATGTGGCTGGTAGAGGGGAAAGGCTGCCTAACTGAAGGCCTTCTGCACAGGAGAAATGTGAAGACGTACAGTCAGTCAATAGAGACACCTCTTTTGAAGAATTTGGTTTTAAAGGACAGCAGACAAATACAGAAGTAATTTGACAGGGGTATAGAATTAAAGGAGGATTTTCATTTTTTTCCCAAGATGAGGAATATTAAAACATATTTTATACTAGTGGAAATGATTTAGCAGAGATTAAAAACTTGATGATGTAAAAGAGAAAAGGAGAAGCTGTAGAATCAGTATGTAAGTGGAGTCTTAGGAGCACAGACATCATCCATTGATTCATTCACTCTAACAGATTAAGGACACAGACAGATTGCAGGCTGACTGGTAGGTTTGGTGGTAAGAATATTAGGAAGTTCTCCTTTAACTGAGATTTACAGTTCTCCTTTAATTTCAATGAAATAAGAAGTTAGGTCATTTGTGAATGATAGAGAAAAAAAATTTTTTTCACTTGTTATATTAGCTTACTTTATCAACACGATGATTGAAAATATTTTCTAACAATTTGAGTGTTTCTGAAATGTATGTAATTACCTACCTGCCTTCCAGACGAGTCACTTCTGCCTGCAGAAGTTCTTCACTAGTGTGGGTAAAATCCAGTCGGGAGAGCACATTCTCTAAGTCTCCCTGCCCTTGAGAGGCATACCTCCTTTCTGCCTGAGACTCCTCCAGTGACCTATGGGAAGACACAGGAGGACTGTTAAACACCTTGTATCTTTGCAAACAAAAGCAACACACAGCCAGTTCATATTTCCCAACTCTTTTTGGTAATGAAACTCTTCAGAACTCTTCAGTTTGTTTCCTGATTTACGAAAAAACAAAACAAAACAAAAAACTGGGCGAGTAAAGAGGCAGAGATGATGCTTCTAAAAAAGTCAGCAACAGTTTACTCCTTTCTCAACTGGGATTTGGCCTGTTTTTCAAGGGAAAAAGACAAAATGGCAAAAATCACCTTGTTGACACTTGATACCTTGAGTCAAAGAAACTGAAAAGTTATAGACAACAACAGAAATGTGCACCAGACTTAAATTACAAACTTCAGAGCAACAATTCATACATAGAAATAAAATTAACTTTAGGAATTTTTTAAAGGGCTATCTCAATAGCTGGCTTATTGATGATAAGCAGCTACTAAACATGACCTGTTCTACCAAGGAAGGGAGGCCTCCCAGGAGACGTAGACTATAATTCCTTTCACGTTTGCAGTTTTGGCAAGGGTATGGATTGACAAAAGGGTTCCTAACTTTCTAAACATCAGAGTCTCTTGGTTAGGGGACCCAAACTGTAGGCAGAAAAAACTAATCATACAATTTTTTCTAAAGATATAAAAATTTTACTCAGAAATTAAAACTGAATAAGAAAACCCATAATATGATCAAACACAAAATTATGAATATGCAATATTAAAAATGGTGCTTAATGCTAAACCACGCCGTGGCTAAGATTAATAATATTTAAGATTAAATATACCTTATGGTCTCTACTGTGTGTTGAGTGTCAGTTGCCTTTAATTTTGCTTGTAGCTTCTCCTTTTGTATTCTTGTCTCACACATGAAATTTTCTTGAGTCTGAAGAGCTGCCTTCAATTCTCTCTTTTCTTCTTGCAGAACCTGCAAAAATACTCAGAAAAAAAGTCAGATGTTATTAAATTTTTCTATTTCATGAGAAAACATAGCCAGGGAATCAAACTGTAAGTTATATAACAGGCACCATATTAATAAGGCCTGTTATTAATATCTGATCCTGTTATTAATATCAATATATATTGGCTACAGAGTAGGGAAGAAACCATAGATTTTGGAACCTAGTTCCAGGTTCATTAGTCTCTCTTAAAACACACATACACACATTTCCTCTGTTACAGTATATTACAATTTAAAAACATACCTCTAACAGTTTTTCAGATTCCCTCAATTTTTCTTCTTTTTGCTGCTGGTCTTGCATAATAGTCATATTGGTTCCAACCAAGTCATTGACCCTCATGGTGAGGCGCTCTATTTCCAACTCATTGGCACAGATGGTGTCATTGGCCCGCTCCAGCTTACTGCTCAGGTGCTGAATTTCCGACTGGCTGGACAGTTCCACAGACTCTAATTTTTGTTTCCGATTGGCAAGCTGAGCCTAGAAACACACAAATTAACAACTGGTAAAAGTGAAAAGGTAAAAGAATAATCAATGAATAAGGAAAACTAAAATGAAACTGAGTTTTACTTCCATAAATACATATAGCATTAGCTCATTAAAAATATATAATCCATTCATGATAAAAACAATTTCCATAATAAAAACTAGGAATAGAGGCGAACTTTCTCAATTTGGTAAAGACGATCTACAGAAACCTTACAGCCAACATTATACTTAAAGGGGGAAAACTTGATACTTTCCCACTAAGATCAGGTACAAGGCAAGGATGTCTCCTCACACTACTCCTTTTCAATGTCACACTGGATATCCTTGTTAATGCAATAAGGCAAGAAAAGGAAATAAAAGGTATACAGATCAGGAAAGAAGTCATAAAACAGATAAAACAGATAACATGATCATCTATGTAGAAAATCTGAAAGAATCAACCAAAAAAAAAAAAACAAATCTCCTGGAGTTAGTAAGCAATTATAGCAAGGTTGCAGGATATAAGGTTAATATATAAAAGTCAATCACTTTCCTATATGTCAACAATAAACATGTGGAATTTAAATTAAAAACACAATACTATGGGCTTCCCTGGTGGCGCAGTGGTTGAGAGTCCACCTGCCGATGCAGGGGACGTGGGTTTGTGCCCCGGTCTGGGAAGATCCCGCATGCCACAGAGCGGCTGGGCCCATGAGCCATGGCCACTGAGCCTGCGCGTCCGGAGCCTGTGCTCCGCAACGGAGAGGTCACAACACCTCACAATACTATTTATAGTAACACCTAAATAAATCACTTAAGTATAAATCTAACAAAAATATGTACAAGATCTATATGAGAAAAACTACAAAACTCTGATGAATGAAATTAAAAAACTAAATAAATGAGATATTCCATGTTCATGGAAAGAATCAATCCTGTCAAGATGTCAGTTCTTCCCAATATTATCTATGAATTCAACACAATCCCAATCAAAACATCAGCAAGTTATTTTATGGATATCAACAAACTACAGTTTATATGCAGAGGCAAAGACTAAGAATAGCCAATACAATATCAAAAGAGAAGAACAAAGTTGGATGACTGATGTTACCTAACTTCAAGATTTACTATAAAGCTACAGTAATCAAGACAGTGTAGTACTGGCAAAAGAACAGACAAATAGATTAATGTAACAGAATACAGAGCCCAGAAATAGACCTTTATAAATATAGTCAACTGATCTTTGATAAAAGAGCATAGGTGATACAATGGAGCAAAGATAGTCTCTTCAACAAATGGTGCTGGAATAACTGGACATCCACATGCAAAAAAATGAATCCAGAAAAAGGCCTTACACTCTCCACAAAAATTAACTAAAATGGATCATAGACATAAATGTAAAATGAAAACTATAAAACTCTTAGAAGATAGCATAGGAGACAACACAGATGACTTTGGGGACAGTAGGAGATAGAGGACCTACTGAGGTAGGAGATAGATGGACCCCTGGGCTGGACAGCTGGTGTCTGCAAGTGAAGTAAAATTGAAGCTTTGTTCTCACCCAGCCACTCCAAGGACAAAGCTAGTGGCAGAAGCTGAGCTCTGCTGAAGTAAAAAGATGACCAGTCCTGAGGTCAAGGAAAACTTCCCTGTCTGCATATGTGCAGGAAGGCTCCTTGGGGGTCCAAAAGAGAGGGGGCGCCACCCCATAATAAGTGTGGACATATCCCCACAGGCCTCTGCAGTGGGATCCATCTTTGCAAAAAGTTGCGCACGCATCTTGGGGAGGGTCCTAGGACCAGTCAGGTGTGAAAAAAGAAACAAGATAACTGGCCAAAGGTAAACAAAGACCTGGAAGAACTGTCCTACATAAAGGATTTAAATCAACTCTTTACTGCACTCCTCCTCATTAGACAGGACGCACATACTCTTTCTCTCTGGGTGTGTATTTATGCCTAGCTTCTGACTTACTGCACTCCTCATTCAGGACGACCGCACTCCTCTCCCTGGTGTGTATTTCTGCCTTGCTTCTGTCTTAAATAAACTGCTTCTCTGTGTGCTCTCCTACATGATATGCTGTTTCTCTAATAATAAACTTTGTACCTGTTTTTACAGTTTTTGCCTCCTTGAAACATTCTTGCCTTCAATGGGGGTTACAGCCAGGGCCACAATGCTTCTAGCCTCTAGTCCCTGGTGGTCTAGCAGCTAGGATTCCTGGTTTTCATCCAGACTACCCAGGTTCAATTCCTGGCCAGGAAACTAAGATCTCTCTTCAGGACCGCTCACCACTATCTCTCCGAGATCAATATCTTTGTAGACACAACACCAAAGACACAATCCCTGAAAGAAATAACTGATAAGCTGAAATTCATTAAAATTGAAAACTTTTACTCTGTGAAAGACAATGTCAAGAGATTGAGAAGACAAGCCAGGTCTGGGAGAAAATATTTGCAAAAGACACACCTGATAAAAGGACTGTTATACAACATATAAAAAGAACTCTTAAAATTCAACAAGAAAACAAACAACTCCATTAAAAAATAGGCCAAAGACTTGAATACAGATGGCAAACAAATATTATATATGAAAAGATGATCTATATCATATGTCATCAAGGAAACACAAATTAAAACAACAATTACATATCTATTAGAGTGGCCAAAATCTGGAACACTGATAATAGTAAATTCTGGCAAGGATAAGGAGCAACAGGAACTCTCATTCATTGCTGGTGAGAATGCAAAATGTTACAGCCATTTTGGAAGACGGTCTGATGTTTTCTTACAAAACATATTCTTACCATATAATCCAGCAATTGTGTTTCTTGGCATTTACCCAAAGAAGTTTGAAAATGTATGTCCACACAAAAACCTGAATATGGATGTTTAAAGCAGTTTTATTCATAATTGCCAAAACTTGGAAGCAACCAAGTATGTGTGGGGATTAGTAAACTGTGCTATATCCAGACAATGGAATATTATTCAATGCTAAAAAGAAATAAGCTATCAAGCCATGAAAACACATGAAGGAGTCTTAAACTCATATTACTAAGTGAAAGAAACCAGTCTGAAAAGGCTACATACTGTATGATTCCAACTATACAACATTCTGGAAAAGGGAAAACAATAGAGAAAATAAAAAGATCAGTGATTATGGGGAGGGTAGGCAGGGGAGTGATGAATAGGCAGAGCACAGAGGAAATTTATGGCAGTGAAAATAATCTGTATGATATTGTAATGATGGGTATGTTTATGGATGGATGGAGAAGAGACGCTGCCTACCTACTGAAAAGACAGCTGCATTATTCTACCTACTTGTACAGAAGTTTAACTATATCCATGACTCATCATATAGGAAAACTGGATTTATCTCTTATTTAAAACATAGGAAAAAGGAACTATAGTGCCTTATTTTATTTCTTACAGAAGTGCAGAAATTAAAATTTTTTAAAAGTCACTAAACCACTTAAATTTCCAGGTCAAATTTTCCTCTCTCCCCACCCCCAAACATGTTTCATGTAGTTAATTATTGTGTTTTAACATTCTTTTCATGAAAATCACACACATTCCAATGATTCAAATTGACCACAAAAATGTTTACCTGTGGGAGGAAAGGAGTGGGGAGAAAAGAATTGTAGAATTTTGTTCCTTCAGGAAAAAGGTGCGTGGAGGGGAGGAAGGATTTGTTCTGTCATCAACTTTTGGACACTCCCTGAGCTAAAAGACTCAACTAAATATAGTGAATCTCAAAGTTTCCTTCTATGCTTTATCTACTGAGTTACATACCAATAAGACCACTTTAGCAACTGTCTCATGGACCTGCAGTACACAGTTCCTAGAACTTGGATGATTTTTTAGGCTATGTATCCCAGCTATACTGTTTTTTAGCTCCCAACTTTCTAGTTTTCAGAAATTTTAATCCAGCATCCTGAAAAGTACTTCATCTTCACACTGAAGATAAGCATAAATCATTTGTGTAAGTAAAACTTCCCTTATTCTAAATATTTTTAAAAGGTAAAGCAGGGCTTCCCTGGTGGTGCAGTGGTTGAGAGTCCGCCTGCCAATGCAGGGGACACGAGTTCGTGCCCCGGTCCGGGAGGATCCCACATGCCGCGGAGTGGCTGGGCCCGTGAGCCATGGCCGCTGAGCCTGCGCGTCCGGAGCCTGTGCTCCGCAACGGGAGAGGCCACAACAGTGAGAGGCCCGCGTACCGCAAAAAAAAAAAAAAGGTAAAGCACACAATTTTATTTTTAGAAATTTAAGTGGAAATGTCTCTGGGAAATCTATCTGCTGTGGATTTAAGGATTTTATTGTGAACAGTACAGGGCCAAAATCCTATATTGTGGGCGCATAAAGTAGACGCTCAACAATGCCCCTAAGCCAGAAAAAGGGTGGGAGGAGAAAGGCAAAGAGGCAGATAAATAGTGTTTATATAAATTACAGATCCAAGATTCCAGCACAAAGATTCAAAAAAATTTTACCAGATTCCTGCAACAGTGTGAAAAAAGAAATCAAATAGGTTTAAATGCACAAGAATAACTGCCAGGATGCAGCTGTCTCCAAACTTTTAAAATACAATATAAACTACCCACCCCCAACAAGGGGAAATCTTACATAGAATTCTGTACAGAATATATAACTGAAGACATTGGATGAGGATGATAAGAAAGAGCCCAACATGCTGAACCTCCCCAACCCTACTTTAAACTGCACAGCAGCCCTGGGGCTTGACAGAACATAGCTAGAAAACCACTGTTCAACTGGATGCTCCGGATGAAAAACAATACATAACTGCAAAACACTAGCATTGTCTTTTTAACACTGTTAACAGCTATTTAACATTATTCAGTTCAGATCTGTGACCTTAAAGTAAACTGGTATTGAAGTTATAGTTTAACTAAGCTATAGTTTAACCAGCTGGCCAAGATTTGATACTTAAAAACTAAACAACTAGTTTTGTGGTATCAAGAACATAGCTTTTTTTTTTTAACATCTTTATTGGAGTATAATTGC